TGGGAAGAAGGAGTGTTTGCTCAGATCTTTGGGACAGCAGACCCTTTTGGTTTGCCGGTGGAGAGTGACTACATGCCTATGCCTGCTTTCCCGGTCTTTAAGACCCCGACGACTATGGACCAAGCGTCAGAGACTTCTGCCGCTGCAGCCAGTTATGGCATCCCGAAGTTCGCCAAGCATGTGAAGGCCTTGTGTGACACTGATTACAAGCAAGCCCTGGATTTGAAGTGGGTGCGAGCCCTAGCCTGTTGGCTCACCATACTTGAAAGCAGCAGGTTTGAATCCAATGTAGGAAAGTATGCTAAACTTTCAGACCAAGACCGTGAAGGTGCGCTGACCTACATCCGAGATGCATGTGGGGTTAGGTCCCCAAGCACTGTGTTGAAGAGGGCCCGCGACTTGCAGCAGTTTATCAACTGGTGCACAAGCAAGGACAAGCAGTGGTGGCCGATCGCTGAGAAGGACCTGTTGGATTTTCTCAGCTCATGCGAAGCAAAAACAAGAGCAAGTTCATTGGGAAGAACTTAGTACACGCCATTAAGTTTTTTAAGTTTGTCATGGGAGGCAACATTGAACTAGAGGAGACGCTGGGACCAATGCTTCAAGGTAGAGTGATGAGGATCCTTGCAACACGGGAACCTACTCAACAAGCTCGAGCGCTAACTGTGCAGGAAGTGCTACAACTAGAAGCGATGGTGCATACATCACGCTGCCTCTTGGACAAGTACTTAGCTGGTTGCTTGCTCTTTGCTTTGTTCTCTAGAGCAAGGTGGTCCGACCTCTCTTCTATGCAGAGCTTTGGATTCGACGTCATGGAGGCGGACAGCGGCCCATTTGGCTTCGTTGAAGGCAGAACAAGGATTCACAAGACCTCGAATACGGCAGAGAAGAAGGCGCTGTATCTCCCTTTTGTCGCCCCGATAGAAGGTGTGGGCGAGAAACCGTGGGCACTGGCATGGAGATCAGTCCTGGAGGAACTAGACATGCTCCGTGACCCTGAGCCCTATGGAGCCGTGTGCCAGGCCCCTACATCTGAGGGCGGCTTCACCAAGCGGCCGCTGACGTCTGCTGAGGCTTCATCGATGCTCAACGACTTCCTGGGCGTCGTCGACACCAAAGAGGCAACAAGCTCCCACAGCTTCAAGGCTACCACGCTGGTGTGGTGTGCCAGGTATGAGATCGATGACACCAGCCGTGCAAGGCTGGGACATCATGCAATCAAAGACAAGTCCCTTGCCTGCTACTCACGGGACCTCTTGTCACGGCCACTACGTGACTTGTGTGGGATGCTCCTGAACATCCGTCGGGGTGATTGCAACCCAGATGGAACGAGGTCGGGCTACATGTAGGAAGTTCAGGAGGTGCACATGGGCAAAACCGCGGCCAGGGCTGGGGAAGCGCCCCACTCACCGGTCAGCGTGGTCCCGAGTCCGAGCCTAGCAGAAGAGTTTCAAGAAGCAGCACCGGCAAAGGAAGCCGATCCCTCTGCGAGCCGTGCCTTCGATCCTTCGAACCCTTTTCACGAGGGGGAGCATGCAGAAGCTTGCTTCGAGGTCTTCGAGGCAGGCCAGGTTGTTTACTCAGAGGAGTTGCTGGAGAGCGCTAGCTCAGACTCTGAGGAGAGTGACTGCGCCACCGAGACAAACGAAGAGGTTTTCCACAAGAAGTTTGATAGCGCCATCAACAGTGGAGGCTTGAGGGCCGGCTGATGCAGAACAAGAGAAGCAGGATGCTTCACCTCCGCTCGCCGGATCTTCGAAACAAGCTGCAGCCAGTCACAGAATGCGGATTGCACGGACCAGGATTTATTACCCTGGAAGATGGTGCGGCGTCTGAGTGGCCAAAGTGCAGCAGGTGCTTCAAGGTCGACGCAGCCCCTAGTGGATTGTCAGCAACCTTCTGTGGGAGTAAGCGCAAACGATCTGGCTGAAGCCGCCCAGAACTGTTCTTCCGAGCGAAGAAAAGATAGCAGTGCAACAGTAGGCTGAACATGAGGTACGAGGTCGCAGTGACCCAACTGTGGAACACGAGGTATCCGCAAATAGACATTACGATTTTAACATGAGGTATGTATATACATCATAGGTAACATTCCATGTCCCTTGGATGCATGCAGTTGGTTTCTATTAAGATGACTTGGAAAGCATATGATCAGTTTTCGTGCAGTGCTTCATTGCATTCTGCGCTTCGTTGCGTTCTGCATTCAGTTGGTTTCTTGTTCATGTTGCAGTTAAACGGAAACAAAACGAACATTGACATGAGTTTGATGTTGTTGAAACTTGCTTTAAACGCAGACACTTGAAACATTTGCACCAGTGATGCTGAGACCAAACGAGTGTGACTGTTTGCGTGCAATGTGCGACAAAACAAAACGGAAAGCGACGCCATGATTCCAGTTGTTGTGTGGCATTCCCTTTCTGGCCATGCGATCTTCCTTGGTTTTGCATCTCTCTTTCCAGTGCGTCTGTTCGAGCCTTTACCTCGCGTCTGTTCACTTGTGTCATGTTGCCTGGGTCCTCTGCGGGAAATTCTTGGAGTATAATGATAAACTATATGTAGAATTTTGCCGGAACCTTTTGAATGATTAGTTCCGGGTTGTTTTCCCATGTCCTTTCAGGACCGTAGTCAGTTTGAATTGATTCGGACGGGCCCAAGAAAAAGAAAGAAAGAAGAAATGTTGGCCAATAGGAAAAGGCTACGCGTCCGCATAGCTGTGGAAGGATCAAACCCGACGAGCTGGAACAATGTTTTACCATGAGTACGAACAGCTGCTGACCAGGCATCTGGACCCTTTACAAATTTCACACCAAATGCTTGCTGGACTGTTGCTGCTTCAGGAAGACTGGCAGTGAAGTTCCATGGAGAATGCTTTCTCAATTTGCTGTAATGCTGATGGGCCAAATCCCATTCCTAAAAATATTGGCGCATCACACCCAGCCTTTCTTGCAGCCGGTCGGCATGGAAACGTGGCACAAAAACGCGTGACCACAGTTGTTAGGACCCAAGCAGCGCCCAACAAGTACGAGTTGATTCTGAAAATTGCGGAAACCATTGGCAAAGCCGTTGTGTGACCAAGATGAGTATGAACTCAAAAAAATCGCCACATGTGGTACATTGTGGTACAGGGATAAAGGCGGCAACATCCTCACCCTCAAACATCTTCCCAACAGTTCTGCAACAAAAAAATTTATTTGTGGGGGCGCTTTGCCCGCAAATTGATTTCACCATGTTACCGGAAAAGGCAGAGGCAGTTGTCACGGCGGATTGTCGTCCGACTGCTAGCCTGATGTTTTACCAATGCTTTGCTTGTGTTTGGATTTGTCGACAGTATTTGTGGATTGGAACCAGCATTGCTGTGATATGGGATGTGCGGACCTTTAGGATGGATTATGCATATTCTATGTGAGGAAGAACAATTGGGTCAAATTTTGGGCTCATCTTTTCTTGCCTTGTTTTCTATTACAGGTGGCGCACGGCAAGGGTGTGTACTGAGCCCCCGATTGTTTAACGCTGTTTTGGGGTGGGCAATGCTGGAGTGGGGAAATGCCATGCGTGAGAAAAAGTTTGAATTTAAACAACGGCTTTGGCAAATGAGTTGCTTTATGGTTTGCTGATGTCTGCTAGATGATGTTATTTTTTTTTTCGGCGGGTTTGGTTCGGGTAGAGGGACGGTTATGCAACTGTTGGATTCACCGGTGACAGCTCTGGCCGGCGTTGGTTTGCGATTGACCCCGGACAAAACTGTTGCATTGACAACTGGGGCCTCGCCCCAAACTACTTGCTTATATTTAGCTGTATTTTTGTTTTCTTTTTTTTTTGGGCCGTCAACGAGAAATCCAACAAAAAGGAAGAGGTGGAAACGAGAATAACAAATATCTTTCACGTCTTTCTTCCTTGAACTTTGCCGCAACATAACAAGAGGGGCTTCACAATAAACAACCTTGAAGTATAATGTAAAAGACCAACACAAACTTAAGACTGCAACTTAGTCGCGACAAAGATATGCGACACAGTGCTCAGCACCAACTTTGAGAAAAATATCTCAAGAGCCGTGGCCACGCTTTTCCCACCGTCCAAGAAATCCGACACAGACCTTGGCTGAAACAGCCACAGTTGGAATACCGAGCCGACTTCCAGCTTTGGCAAAGTAATCTTTGGCTTTTCTTTCTTAATATGCAACATGGGCGGCCCACGGGATCCCCACTTGCTGCATTTCAACTTGCGGTGCTTCTGAAACAGCTTTTCGAGCCCCAAAGTTCCCACTATCCGTATTTGGACTAAGCGCAGATCTCTTTCAGCTTGCTTGATTTAAAGGGTCCTTAGCACTACAGAGTGCACAGCTGGCTGATTCTGAGTCAGCATTCTTGAGCTGAAACAGCTGCAGAAGGACACACATTGAAATTGAAATGTGTGAGCTTTTTTTAATCTTCGTTGTACCTGTTACACATCAACCGCTGTTTGCTGAACTGAGTCTACAGGGTGTCTGCAGCTGCCGCAACGCATGTTTATCCATTTTTTCCACTTGTCATTTTTTTGCATCTCACATCCGACTTTGAAGACAGCACCCCGCCGCAGTCTATGTGGCTAAGATCCGGCCCTTTCCAGCTGATCTGACTTTGGTCGATGCCGCGGTGGCATACTTGTGGCCAAAGCAGCCACCAAAAGCCGAAGCAGCTAAGTGGCCGAAGCAGCTACAGCTACAGTAGCCGAGACAGCTGCCGCCTCTTTGGCGTAGGCATGGCGTGGCCAGTCAAGCTTCCGTGAAGTGCTTGAGCCGAGGCTCCTGAAGCGAAGCGGATCTCAGGCATGCTCCTAAGGAGAGGACAATTCGTCCTGTCCTTAGGAGGTTCAAGGACAACCCCGAGGCTCCCAAGGAGAGGACAAAAATGGGACAAAGGCCTTTGAAAAATTCATATTTAAGAGTATTTCAATTTCGTCCCCTTGTCGTCCTCTCCTTAGGAGGTTCAAGGACAACCCCGAAGCTCCTAAGGAGAGGACGTTCCCGCCCGTTGATTCGAGGTCCGTTGAATTTTTTTGATGCTCCTAAGGAGGGACAAAAAACACACATTAAGTAGCCAAGCCTGTCTCCAAATCAAAGCTCTCATTGAATCTCCCAATATTTGTGGGTAATCATCCCTTAGATTCAACCCATTGGTAGATTCCATGTAGCGACCAGAAACCCAAAGTCTTTACCCTGACGCTTCAACCCACCCCAGCCAATTCCTATTTTTGCGAAAAGTCCACCACGACCTGCTATGTACAAAAACTGACTATGACTAAGTATGTAACGCAGCTTCAAAGTGAGAAGTCGGAACAGCGTCAAAACAAGCCAAAGCAGCTTTGACAGCCGGAAACAGCTTGCCTGATGCTGCAAGGGCTTGGCTGAAACAACTACCGCTAAGGCCGAAGCAGCCTCACTTGAGGTCAAAATTTGAAAACACTTCGCAAGCAGGAGCCGAGTCTGACGCAGGGCCGAAACAGCCCTCCTCGCTGCGTGGACATGCTGAGCCGAAGCAGCCGAACAGCCACCGCCCTCCTGAAGCCAATGTCTGACTGCTCCAGAGCCCGCCTTTGTCCCTTGATGCTTTTGGAAAGTTTTTTTGCATGTGAATGGGCTTTGTGATTTCATTGTTTGCTCAGACGCTTGTCAATCCGCTTTGGCTAGAACCGTTCAGTCAACACTCCATGGCGTGCGCAGCCAAGTTCCCAGCTCTGGGTGATGACATGAAATACGGAACTGTGAGCCCTTTTTTATCACTGCTACCTTAGCTATATTATTTCAGGGGGGTGACGTACCAAAATAATTTTCCAGAAATAGTTATCAATTTCATGCGAGGACCGTGTACTTCTGGCATAGGTCAAACCATGCAGAAATAATTTCCGGCCTAGAAATTATTTTAACGGGGTCCGACCCCATCAAAATAATTTTCCAACGAGGGGTCAGGTGCCAAACAATTATTTCGAAATAATTTTGGTTGAGCCTATCGTAGTACTGCCGTTTTGTGGTGTCAAGAATGTTTGTTCATTGTCCAATGAAACTGCTGAAGCTTCAGTAGCCATTTGGTTCACAATCGCCCCTACTTTAGTTACCCCCCCTCCCCCCTTAATAATAATACATAACTAACTATTTCAATGGGGCTTGACATACATTCGATTCATCGACTTGACCTAGGAACACCTGGAAATAATTTCCATTAACCCCCCCTCAAAATGCCTTTCCCCAGGGGTTCCCTAGAATGATATTATTTCAAAAATATTCTGACCTCCTTTCACATAGTTATTTTGCAGGGAGTGCCACATGTCAAGCTTCAACGACAAGTGTTCTCCACCCCCCTTCCCCTCCAACTCAATGTTTAAAGTTTAAAGCATGTTTTGAAATATGAGGGACGCCTTCAGAGAATGCCCCGTCAATATGCATCAGAAATCTCAGAATAACAGAAGGATACCCCTATCAAAAAATCTAGCGACAAAAGGGAATGCGTAGCATTGCGTAGCCTACGGAAACAGAATTGAAGAAGATCACAAAGTACATTATATCAGGAAATCCTGCACAATGTTGGCTTTGCAAAGGTGGTTTACTATTATTTTTTAGGTATGTCTTGTTGTTTTTTGGGATCGTTGCGTTGCAAATCCGGAAGCGCAAATAAATTCAATCATCATGCTTCATGTGTGCTCCCTCCTAGTCAGCTCAGAATCTCCCTTCAATTTAAATTGCACCAAGAACGCATTAAAATTTGCAACCCGCAACCAAAAAACGTTCTTTCGGAAATTATTTTAGGGGTATTGGAGATGCCCTGCACTCCTCAAAAATCAAAGTGGGCAGCTGCCAGGACCATCCATCCAACTTGCCCAGAAGCTGGAAACGAAATCAAAAACATATAAAGACCGAATGCTTACCATCGTTCTTTGGAGGCAAATGAAAGGAATATGGGCGAAATATTGCGAAATAAGGGAAAATATGAAAGGTTAGGAAAACCACTACACGAAACGGCCAAGTTGAATACTATTTCGTGGGATTTCTCAAGGGGAGAAATTAATTTAGGGGTATTGGAGATGCCTTGCACTTCTAAAAAAACAGCTGCCAGAACGACCCAACTCGCCCAGAGGCTGGAAAAAAACCAAAAACTCAACAACCTATAAAAACCGAATGCTTACCATCCAGAATTCTTTGGAGGCACATGAAAGGAATATGGGAGAAATATTGTGAAACAAGGGAAAATATGAAAGGTTAGAAAAACCACTACAGGAAAGAGCGAGGTTGAATACTATTTCGTGGGATTTCTCAAGGGGAGAAATTATTTTAGGGGTATTCGAGATGTCTCAAAAAACAGCTACCAGAGCGACCCAACTCGCCCAGAGGCTTGGAAAAAAAAATTGAAAAACCTATAAAAACCGAATGCTTGCCCTTTCCCACTCATTCCCACCGCCTTTTTTGACAGGACATGAAGGGAATATGGGAGAAATAGGGAGGGGTATGAAAACATTGGAAATATGTAGGAAAATTCAATGATGAAAATAATTATTGAACACCACTTTGCGGGAATTCCCAAGGGGAGAAGGTCTGATAGGTGTTTTTTTTTCTGACCACTCGAAGTTTATATATACGAAATGATTTCAAAACTATATTGACGGGTTAAACTATATTAGGACACAACAAACCATGGCGTGAGGAGTCTTGAAAACGGAAGCAGCCAATGAAACAACAGGGGGGGGGGCTTGCTTGTGAGATGGCCCGTGGAACCCCCCTCAAAATAATTAGGTGGAAGGACCTTGAAATAATTTCATGGATTTTTAGTGATATTTAGGGGGCTCTGTTTCTGGAAATTATTTCCGGGCATCTGCACTTAAGGATGTAACATATAGCAGAGGTGAACCCCCCTTAGAAATAATTTTGGAAATTATTTTTTGGGGGGACGGGGGCCCCTAGCTTAGGTAGGGGTGATCCTTTTTTCAAGCCCGAGACAAGCCACTTGGATCGAAGCCATCTGCCATTGCAAAAGCAGCAATGCTGCTGTCGTGTTTGACAGCTACTGACCCAAATTGCAAACGAGAAATAAAAATAAACCAGCAATAAAAATAAACCAGCAATAATTTCAAATACCTCTTCAGCTGCCTCGACCAGAAAAATTGGAAGAACCAATGGAAAAGTCAAAAAAATGTACGAATGTGTATGAATTTTTTGCAAAGGAAAGGACCTGGGAAACAAACACCATGTTCCGTACATGTCTTACATGTCACCAGTTGGGTTGCAAAGGGTATTCCAAATCAGTCATTGCTGAAGCAAACGAGATTCTCAAAATTCTTAGCCAAACAAAAAATACAAAAAAATATCTCAGGCCCCAAAAAAATACAATAATACAGCTAGATATAAGCAAGACTATTGGGTAACCGAACATGGTTGCTTGTTTCTATCGCAACTTTTGCGTAGCGTGGTTGCCCCGCCTGGAGGTTCAAATGGGGATGCCCCATGGCACGAGATTTTTCATGCTTGGAAGGAGAGGGTAAGGTTTGTATATGCGACAATATGGTATATCCTGGTGGTCGGACAGGTGGTGCTTAGGACAACACTGGAATTTGACAGCGTATATTGCCAACCGCCAACCTGCCCGAGAACCTCTGGGTCAAACGGATTCTACGTTGTTTTCCGGATGGTGGTCGTTGTTGTGAAGATCTAGGCACACTTGGCAATCGCACTTGGAAACGTTTTGCAGGTACAAACGTTTATATAGGTTGTTGGGAACAGACGTGTGGATAACGTTTTCGGAAAATCTTGTGGGCTTCTTTTCGTGATGCGGGCCCAGAATTTGTTCCTTCTTGTCATGTAGCTAGTTTTTTTTAAACAATCCCCGCGGCTTAAAAGCGTGGCTGCCTATTGGCATGCAGGACCAGGCCCAGCTCAGACTTGGAGCGTGGCAGTTGCCAATGAATTTGAGAAAGCATCACCGAAAACACAACATTGAACAAAGGATCGATGCGAAACTTGGGTCCCAAGGAACCAATAACTAGTGTACGTTTTTGGCCGTTGCGGGGCATGTTCGCGTTTTAGGTGCGCCTGGCCTCGTGGCCTCTGGCGCAACCTAGGGGGTATGTGCGGCGTCGCATGTTGCGGCGTTTAGTTGTGCGGAAAAGCGCAGGGGATGAAAACAGGTGAAGAAAGGTAGGAGGCATGAACGAAAAATTGGCCACGCACTGCGCTGGTTTCCATTCCCAACGGTCCAAAAGATGGAATTCGCAACACGGCTAGTTTACCACATCGCGAATTCAAAAAGAACCTGGGCATGGCAAACATAGTCTGCAAATGAAACCGGCCACAAGGGTAGGAAACTAATATGGTTCAAGTCGATTGGTTCGTGTGGGACATACGGGTCATCCAGCAAAACGTCGACAGGATGAATTCTTCCAGCTATTTCAACTTGTTTCTCGCCGAATCGTGGGTCGCAAGTAGCCAGATATGGTTTGTCATGCACGTTTGTCATTCCACCACGCTTTGCCCTCCAAATTTGAAGATTTATTATGTTCTTTGCAAATGTTGCCAAAGGTATGTAAACTTGAGCCACAGCAAAATAAAATATTAACGCCACATCCAAAAAACCCTCAACTGACAGAAAGCGTTAGAGACCCTAGCCTCCTCGTTAAAAAAATGAAACACTCACCGCAAATTGAAAAGATGTCTGACATAATATTGCTTTTGAATCGCCAGAAAAATTTCCCACCTAGGCCACAAGAAAACCAAATTAGACCCCTGTAGTTTCGGAACTCCCTGTGGGACACTTCGAATTTGATACTTGCTCAGCCAATGCATAGTGGTACCTTGGAGCACATTAGGGAAAGGTCGCAACGCGCTGACCCTTGGAAAAGTGCCAAAATTGGAACACCTTGCTCTGGGTGAGCAAAATGCGAAAGACAAGGCAATGCAGAAAAAACATATTGTGCTGTGTTGATCCATGTTGCGGATGGGGTCTGAAATTGGTTTGACGTAAAAAGGGGTCTGGCATGGCTGATCGCAAAATTAATGATTGTTTGGTCATTTCATGGAATATCAAAGTTAGGGGTCTAAGATGGGTCGACCCAAAAAGGGGGTTCTGACATGGTACACAAAAAAGAAAGGGTCTAATGATAGCATTTTCGAAAAATAAGGGTGTAAAATCTTTCCTGGGAACGTTTTCGTGTTAGGGTGTATAATGTCTTTTTTCCCGACGCTGGTCCCACAAAGTGCATGTACTTTGACATGATGCTAGACCCTCAAATTTTGTACCGGGGGGCGTTTAGGGTCATGAGCACTTTGGTACCGTATTCCTAACGAAGGTTGATTGTAGACCTGGGTTTTTGAGGTCTAAGTTGAAGTATCTACCCTACCCGTAGTTGAGGGTATGAAATGATGCAGGTGATGTAGATGATCTAGGTGATGTACATGCTGTAGATGATGTAGTTGATGTAGGTGATGTAGATGATGTAGATGATGTAAGTAAATGATGTAGATGATGTAAGTAGGTGGTGTAGATGACGTAGGTAGGTGATGTAGATGATGTAGGTACTGCAGATGGTGTGGAAGATTGTGTCGATAAAGTAAAAGCAGGTGATGTTAACGTTGAAATTGGCAGCAGTTCTTTGGGAAAATCCTTCGCAGGAGCTTTTCGGAAGAAATGTTCCATTTAGAATTTAGATGATTGCAGAGGTTGTAAAATGGAATAACGGTCTAATTCTGTGTCCGTTTTCAACGCGTCGCATCCATGCACAGCGCGCAGAATGCAAAATGGACACTTTTTGCGGCGCTGAAATCGTATTACTAAGAATTCACCCAAAAAAAACAGTGCTGCGCATGAAGTTGGCAGTCGTGCTTGCAATGGATGGGTTTTGTTTTCTTACCCGAGCCAAAACTTGTCACAGTCGAACGCATTCGCGCGATTCAATTATTCTGCGAACGGGAACAGCTGAATTGTATGAGCGCGGTGTTCTGGCAAGTGTTGCAACAGCGGCTCGGAGACAATGTGTAAAATGCGAGAGTTGATGTTTCCGGCTGGCAAATTCACATCTTAGGTTTTTGAGCTGAACAATGGTGGACAGTTTCTTCATATGATTCTCCGATGATACGCACCTGTTTTGTTTGCGTTTGCTTCTTTGCCAACATGTTGCATTGTCGCGCCTCTTGTGCAGCAATGGTAGGGTGCTTCGCTGATTCTGATGCGGGAAAGCAGGTAGTATAGGGAAAAAATCCATGTCAAACATCCAGCAATGCAGAAAGAATCCAGCAATAGCAGGATTTCAACCAACCCAGGATACATAATGGATAGTGACTTCATTGGTATTTGAGATACGTCCGATTTTTTTTGCCCCATCAAGCCGACGGACAATGACAGCATAAATTTGAGGCTAACATGTTCATCATAACAATGTCACAGTCAGCAACTGGCCATTGATCCATTGCAGAGTACATGAAGGCTTACCCAGCAAGCGTCGCTGCTACGTTGGGGATCTTCCTGGCACATGCGCTTGATGTTGGCCGCATTGCGCGCGGCCCCTTCACAAGCAAGTATTTGGATCAATTTGCATTCTGTGACTACCATTGTCAATGCGGGCTTGCCGCGGCCAGTTCACTGTACCACTTTTTGGGTGGGTTGGCTTGTCCCGGCCTTAATTTCTCATAGTTTTATGTCATATTTGAGACCGGTTCATCGCTGACTAGCTAGGCCTCAAATGCGACGCATGTGCCACTTGCTGTTTGTCGTTTCTGGCCCGGCAACTCAGGTCCAGCCATTCAATCTGTTTTTGGCGCCAGGTCAGTATTTTTGACATTCTATTTCGCCAATGTATTAGCTGACCTTGGAATGTTGACTCCCAAGTATGTCCTGGCATCCGTTGTTGCATCTTCTTTTTTGACTCAAAATGCTTTGTTGCCCTATGGTGAGGGTCTTGCTGAGATGACGGCTGTTTCGCGCAAGCTTTCCCAGTCACACCATGTGAAGATGCATGGTCTTGCACAGCGTGCAGCTGGGCTTCTTGGACCTTGGATTGGTCTTCTCATCGGGGATTTTGAAAGCTGCGTTTGGTGGTCTCTTATTTTGACAGTGGCTGCATCCAGTTTGCCTTTTCTCTTCGAAAGTTGCGGGGGCAGTGGTAATGATGTGCACCGGGCGCTTGCCTACGACAGCCACATTCCACCTGCTTTTGCAGATGCTGCAGCAAAATCAGCTGTTGCATTTGTTCTTCTCTGGCGTTTCTTTTCTGCGTTTGGATTCTATGCGTTCAATATGCTCTTGACATCGTCTCTTTTACATGCGGGGCCCTGGCTCCTTGCCTCAGTTGGGAGCACATGTGGCATTGGGGAATTGGTAGCCATTAAAATTTCATTTTTGCTTGACGCGCGGCAGCCTGATAGTGGCAAGTTCATTTGGCAAAGCACATCGTCAGTGGCATCAGTGGCATTGAAGGTTGTTGCGTTGGGTCGCTTGAGTGCTTTTTTGGTTTCCAGCACGGGTGGAGCAGCCGGCACAAGTGTAGCAGGCAGTTCCAGCTTTTCTATGGGCAATATCATCAATACTTTGGACATTGGTGTCTTACTATTTTCTTTATTGGTTTCGATCTTGGCCGCGACCCTGTTGAGTGACCTGCAATCACAAGTGGTGTCGCGTATTGTGCACATTGAAGGTGGAACTCACATACCGCATTTGGAGAGAGCAGCAGATGCCTTGGCTGGGGTGACTGGCCCACTTTACATTCGAAGTGTAGTGGCTCAGCATGGCTCTGGGGTCGCCATGGCAGGCATTTTCAGTTTATACATCGTGATGCACATCTTCATTCATGTGGGCTTGAGCCGAATCATCGCGCCTTTTCTCACAGGCATACGTGCCAGGCACGTTTCTGGCCGCGCAGCTGAGCCGAATGCTCATGAACGCGAGCAGCGGGGCAGGTCAACTGCACACCATCGTGGCTCAAGTGATTGAAGCACTTGCGAGACAGAGGCCCGAGAGAAAAACAAGCTGCTGGCAGGGCAATGGGATTGGAAGAGGTGTGATCAATGCGCAGTTTAGCCAATCCTTTAAGATATGGAATGTTTAGAGTGATAGGTTTTGGTTTTGGGATTAAAGCTTCGTGTTTCCCATGCAGGCGCCAGGTGCCGGCAGACATCACATCCACCACCCATTGATGGGAAGCATATTTTGTTTGTTCTTGGCGCGGTCTGCTAAGGTTCCAGGCCTTATGGTAGGCAAATTGGCATGTGCCATGCTTTGACGCGCCGACCGTATTTTCCTGCGAGAAGCCATTTTGTCCTCTCTTGTAGGTCTTTCCAACAGGACTATACCTATATAGTTTTTTTTTGCAGGCAGGGATGGCTAGTGCAGGTCTCAAATTTCTGATGTGTATGCACATCACAACTGCGGACGCATTGCAAAGCTGCAAATCCCGCGGTTAGTACAACATAAACCACGATCTCAGTTGGAAAAGGAAGGAGTCCAAGGTTTGTGAAATCACTTCGCACAGGCTTAAACAACTTGTGAGGGTCCCAGGTGACATGTTTTCTGTCATTTCATCAGCTTGACATGGCTGTCGGAGTTTGGAACCATGGCGCTGGGGACTGCGTGGTTGCCTTATTGCTTTCCACCTGCCACCGGCATTCTTACTTACCGTGAAGCATTGCAATTTTCTTTGAGTGCTGAAGCCAATGCGGTGCAGGATCTTTATGTAACTCGATGTCGGGTTGTCGCGCCTTTTTCCCGTGTTTTTGAAGCTTCAAGGCATGGATATGGATATGGCTATGGGGCCAGCCGGCCTATCCGCCAATCAGAGCCAGACACCAGCGAAGAAACCGATGGTGAGTCAGCAAGCTGCAGTGCCAGTGATTGCACTGGCACAAATAGCAATGATGAGGCCGAGAGGGTTGAGCAGCATCAGGGGGTTGAAAAGCTTGCAGCCTGTGTAACTTCTACCCCCGCAGGCTGAAGTGGAGCGAGTTCAGGTTGAGGTCGGCTCAGGTGTACAGGAAGGCTGGGCATGATTTTTTTCTCGGGTGCGTAGCGAAGGGTTTTCGTTTTACTTTGTGGGTCTGGGGGTTGAGGCGTGTTTGCTCGACATTGCTTTTGTGTCCGCAACCGTTCGCAGCCGTTCGCAAGCGTCTGCAAGTGTCCGCAACCGTTCGCGAGCGACCGTCGTAGGGGCAACATGGCCGTGCCTATGACGAGTTCTGCAAAAGAGGTCACTTTTAATTTGGAGGTTTCGAACGTTGCGTAGCCTCGTTTCGCGTGGCGGGCGTGGCACTTTGCGGCATTCCAACATGTTTCATAATGTGTCCGACGTCGTTTGGTGGCACAGGCGCAATACTTTTGCATCGTTGTCAGAAGATGAGTTGCCCTTTTCGTGGCAGGCGCAGCACTTTGGAGACACCAATCATCGTTTTGCTTGGCAGGCGCAGCGCTTTAGACGTGTCACGTTGCGTGTTTGTTGCGAATCGCATTGTCGGGGCTGCGTCAAGTGGTGACAAAGTGCAAATTCCGTGGCAAGCGTGGCATTTTGTGACTCGCATGAAACATCGATTTTGAGGTAGCAAATTTTAGTTCATGGGAAAGCTCGTCGATTTTGAAGCTACTAAGTGTGAAAATTTGCGGGCATCTGGCACGAAATGCTCGGATTGAGGCTCCAACATGTCTCGTCACGCTCCTTTGGTTTGCTTGTGGGTCGCTGTGTCTATGGGGGAAGCTGCTGCAAAACCTTTCATTTTCGAAATCGTTTTTCTTGGCAGGCATGGCACGTCGCGACATGTCAACCTGTTTCATGACGTGTCCAAAATCTTTTTGTGTGACAGGCACGATACTTTTGCAAGGCTTTCAGCATGCGCAGCACTTTAGACGTGTCCTGTTGCGTGTTTTTGCAAATCGCCTTGTTAGCGCTGCGTCAAGTGGGCTCAACATACAAGTTGCGAGGCAGGCGTGGGACACCGTGAGAGTGTCATTTTGCGTGGCGCGCGCAGCATTTGGTGAAGATCCGTCGTGTATGGAATGTTATTTTGCGTGGCCGCCTCTGCGCTCTACACTTTACACTTGACACTCCACACTTTGCACTCCACCCTCTACACATCACACTTTACACTCCGCACTCCACGCACTCCACATTCTACACTCTACACTCCACACTCTACACTCAACGCTCTACACTCCACACTCCACACTTCACACTTCACACTTTACACTTGACACTCCACGCTGTACACTCCGCACTTTACGCTTTCCACTTGGCACTCCACATTCTACACTTTACACTCTACACTTTACTCTACACTTTACACTCCATACTCTACACTCTAGACTTTACACCTCACACGTTACACTTGGCGCTCCACACTCTACACTCGACACATCCCACTGCACACTCTGCACTCCAAACTTTACACTTCACACTTCACACTTTACACTTGACACTCCACACCCCACACTCTACACTTAACACTCCACACCCCACACTCTACACTTAACACTCCGCACTCTGCACTGTACACTTTACCCACTTGACGCCCCACGCGATTGACACTCCACACCCTGCTCTCTACATTTTACTGCTCCACACTTAAACTCCACAGTCTACACTCTGCACTCCACACTCCACACTCTACACATCACACTTTACACTCCGCACTCCACACTCTATACTTTACACTCCACACTCTACTCTCTATACTCTACACCCCACACGTAACTCCACAGTTTACACTCTGCACTCCACACTCCAAACTCTACACATCACACTTTACACTCCGCACCCCACACTCTACACTTTACACTCCACACTCCACACTTTACACTATACACTCTACACTTTGCACTTTACACTTCACACTTTACACTTGGCACCCCACACTCTACACTCCACACGTCACACTTTACACTTCACGCACTCTACACTCCACACTCTACACCTTACACTCCGCACTCCACACTCTTCACTACGCTCTCCACTTCACACTCTACACTTAATTCCTGACACTGCACACTATACACTCTACAGTTTACACTTTACACTCCGCACTTTACACTTGACACTCCACACTCTACACTTTACGCTCACTACACTTCACACTTTATACTCTGCACTCTACACTTTACACTGTACACTCTACACTTCACACTCTCCACTTGACACCCCACACTCTACACTCTATGCTTCATACTTGACACTCCACACTATACACTCTACACCTGGCACCCTACACTTCACAGACACTTCGCACTCCACAGCCTACACTTTACACTTCACACTTTACACTCTACACTGTACACCCCACACTCTACACTTTACACTCCACTGTCCAAACTCTACACTCAACACTTTACACTTTACACTCCACACTATACACTTTACACGTCACAATCCGCACTTCATACCCTGCATTACAGTCCCTTCACATTACCTCACTGTCTTCACTGTCTTCACACCACACTTTGCACGCGAACCCATCCCAGACTCCACAACCTACACTGGTACGGTAACACGGGAATAATGTACAAGACTGGAAATAACTTGCTGTACAAAAGTGTTTTACGTGACTGCAAACGGGTTTGTGGGTTTCTCTTGTTTTTCATTCCCAGTGCGTAGCAATGGTTCCTGTTTCACTCTGAGGGTTGAGGGTGTCTTCGCGAGACGTCGCCCCGCTGGTCGCAACCGTCCGAAGCCGCTCGCAACCGTCAGCAACCGTTTGAAACCGTCCGCGGCCGTTCGTATGAGGTCCCCATGCCCGTGCCTCTGGGGAGTGCTGCAGAAGTAGTCACTTTTGGAGGTTTCAATCGGTGAGCAACATCGTTTCGTGTGGCAGGCGTGGTACTTTGTGACATCGCAGCATGTTTCATAAAAGTCATTCTGCATGACAGGCGCAATATTTTTGCGAGATTGTTAGAATTTTACGGGCAAATCGAGTGGCAGGCCTGGGAAAACCGTGAGGGTGTCATTTTGCGTGGCAGGGGCAGTATTTGGTGCAGATGCAGGCACAGTCTTTGGGAGACTTTGCGCTTTACACTTTACACTCCGAACTCTACACTCTACATCACTGTACACTGTACACTTTACACTTTACACGCTGCACTTCAGACTTTTTCCCCACATCTTTGTGTGGGGTTCTTGTTTTTGGTTGTGCACTCCCGCCCCGCCCGCCCCGCCACCCACACACAACTTGTCAACACACGACTTGTCAACACACAACTTGTCAACACACAACTTGCTCACACACAACTTGCTCACACACAACTTGCTCACGCACAACTTGTCCACACACAACTTACTCACACACAACTTGCTCACGCACAACTTGTCCACACACAACTTACTCACACACACACAACTTGTCAACACACAACTTACTCACACACAACTTGTCAACACACAACTTACTCACACACAACTTGTCAACACACAACTTACTCACACACAACTTGTCCACACACAACTTACTCACACACAATTACTCACACGCCACTTACCTCCACACACACACACACACGCACACTCACGACTTGCACACCCACAACTTGCTCACACACAACTTGTCCACACACAACTTACTCACACACACACACAACTTGTCCACACACAACTTACTTACTTACTTACTTACACACACACACACAACTTGTCCACACACCACTTACTCACACACAACTTGTCCACACACCACTTACTCACACACCACTTGTCCACACACCACTTACTCCTGGCACTTACGGCACTGGGCTAGCTCTGGTGGCGCGCTTGGTTCCCAGTGGACGCCGTTGTCGCCCCGGCTGTTTGCGTGACAGGCGTGGCACTTGGCGGCATGGAGGTGCATTCTGCGTGGCCGGCGTGGCACTTGGCGACATCGACCTTCACTTTGCGTGGCATTTGCGGCACTTATGGCACTGGGCTGGCTCTGGTGGCGCCCTTGGTTCCCAGTGGACGCCGTTGTCGCCGCGGCTGTTTGCGTGGCAGGCGTGGCACTTGGCGACATCGACGTGCATTCTGCGTGGCAGGCGTGGCGCTTTGCGGCATCGACGTGCATTCTGCGTGGCAGGCGTGGCACTTACGGCACTGGGCAGTCTCGCGGCTGTTTGCGTGGCAGGCGTGGTGCTTGGCGATATCGACCTCCACTTTGCGTGGCAGGCCTGGCGCTTGGCGACATCGACGTACATTCTGCGTGGCAGGCGTCGCACTTGGCGACATCGACGTGCATTCTGCGTGGCAGGCCTGGCGCTTGGCGACATCGACGCGCATTCTGCGTGGCAGGTGCGGCACTTACGGCACTGGGCTGGCTCTGGTGGCGCACTTGGTTCCCACGCCGTTGTCGCCGTGGCTGTTTGCGTGGCAGGCGTGGCACTCGGCGACATCGACGTGCACTTGGCGTGGCAGGCGTGGCGCTTTGCGACATCGACATGCGTTCTGCGTGGCAGGTGTGGCACTTGATGACATCGACGTGCATTCTGCGTGGCAAGTGTGAACTTACGGCACTGGGCTGGCTCTGGTGGCGCGCTTGGTTCCCAGTGGAAGCCGTTGTCGCCGCGGCTGTTTGCGTGGCAGGCGTGGCACTTGGCGACATCGACGTGCATTCTGCGTGGCAGGCGTGGCACTTGGCGACGTCGACGTGCATTCTACGTGGCGGCCGTGGTGCTTGGTGACGTCGACCTTCACTTTGCGTGGCGGGTGTGGCGCTTATGGCGCTGGTCTGGCTGTGGTGGCTTTTGTCGCGCACACACACCACTTTGTCACACACAACTCTCACACAACTTTGTCGCACTTATTTCTTTCACATGCATTTGCGTCACACACAGCTTTGTCACGCAAAACTCTTCCACACAACTTTGTCACAGATTCCTTTCACACACAACTTTGTCACACAAGCCTTTCACACACACACAACTTTGTCACACACAACTCTCACACACAACTTTGTCACATACACACACACACAACTCTTTCACGCACAGCTCTTTCACACACAACTTTGTCACATACATCTCTTTCACACACAATCTTTTACACACAACTTTGTCACATACAACTCTTTCACACACAACACTTTTACATACACAAACTTACACACACACACAACACTGTCACATACAGCTCTTTCACCCAACCTGTCTTGCACAATCTCCTTTCCTTCCTGCCTTTCCCATCTCATTTTCACATCTGCTTGGTGATCATTGGAAGAAGTTGATTTGTGGGGTTATCCGGTCCTTGAATTACACTTGCCACTCCCCGCCACTCGACACTTTACACTCTACACTCCACACTTTACACTTCACACTTCACACTTTACACTCCGCATTCCACACTGCACACTTTACGCTTGAAAGTGTAGACAGTCTACACTTTACACTTGCACTGCGCACTTTACGCTCCACGCTCTACACTTTACACTCTACACTTTAAAATTCACACTTCGCACTTTACACTCTGCATTCCACACTCTACACTCGACACTTTACATGTCATACTTCACTCTTGACACTTCACACTTCACACCTCGCACTTTACACTTTACACTTGACACTCCACAGTTTACACTTTACAATCCGCACTCTACACTTTACACTTTGCACTTGCACTTTGCACCCTGCACTTTGCACTCCGCAATTTGCACTCCACACAACACTGTACATTCACACTTTACACTCTACACTCCACACTTTACACTTTACACTCCACCCTCCACACTTTGCACTCCACACTCTACATTCTTCACTCTACAGTTTACACTTGACAATTCACACTTTACACTTTACACCTCGCAATCTACACTCTACACTTCACACTCCACACTCTACACTTCACACTTCACACTTTACACTTGACACTGCGCACTCTACACTTTACGCCGTGCACTCTACACCTTAGACTTTCCATTTTGCACTTTACACTGTGCACTCCCCACTTTACACTCCAGGCTTTACACTTGACACTACGCTTTACACTCCTTACTTTACACTTTACCCTTCACGCTTTACGCTTGACACTACGCTTGACACTCCACACTCTACACTTCACACTTGTAAGTGTAGACAATCTGCACTTTACACTCCCCACTTCACATTTCACACTTTACACTTGACACTGCACTTTACGCTCCTCACTCCACACTCTACACTTTACACTTCACGCTCTGCACTTGACATCCACACTACACTTTACACTTTAAACTCCACACTTTACACTTCGCACTCTGCACATTATGCTTTGCACTTCAAACTTTACACTTCACTCTTTACGCTTTACACTTTGCACTTCGCACTGTACACTTTACACTTCACACTTTATACTTGCACTTTAGACTTGATACTCCACACTCTACGCTTTACACTCTACACTCCACACTTTACACTCTCCGCACTTTACACTCCACACTCCACATTCTACGCTCTACATGTAACACTTCACACATTACACTTGCACCCCGCAATCTACATTCGACACATTACACTCCACCCTCTACACTTCAGATTTTACACTTTACACTTCACACTTTACCCTTGACACTGCGCACTCTACACTTTACATCCCGCGCTCTACACTTTAGACTTTGCATTCCCTACTTTACATTGCGCACTTTACACTGTACACTTCCCATTTTTTACTCCACACTTTACACTTGACACTACGCTTGACACTCCGCACTCTACACTTCACGCTTTACACTTGGCCCTCCACAATCTACACGTTACGCTTCACACTCCACACTTTACACTTGCTTCACGCTTCACATGTCCCACTCTTTACGTCACACTTTACACTTTACACATTACACATCACACTCTACACTTGACACTCTACACTCTATACTCCACACGCTCCACACTCTACACTTCACACTCTACTCTTTAAACTTCACACTTCGCTTTACACTCTGCACTCCACACTCTTCACTCGACACTTTTCATCTTACACTTCGCACTTAACACTTCATACTACACTTTGCACTCCACACTTCGCACTTTGCACTTCACATGTAGCGTCCTCTTCTCACAATCATGCTCTGCCGAAGATACAAAAGGAGCTGCATCGGCGGGTTGCAACATCTATTAGGTTATCCTCTCCATGTGTTTCGACATCTGTACCAGTAACATAGGTGTGAGTCACCATTCGGGTTCGTGGGCTGCATCTTTTTTTGGTTCACAAATGCTACCAATCTTTGGTGCAGGGCAAGTTGCTCCTTTGCCAAGACGGCGAAGTGTGACTTTCCAAGAACAAGTCTTGGTCATCACCGACACGTCAAGAGAGTTCACCACTCTTGCCAAGCAAGGGGCTGTCAAGAGACGCTTTAAGGCTTTGGTAGCTTGCGCTGGGGGCCATTATGATAGATTCAAATGTGAAGCTCTGAAAAGAATGAATGAATAAGACATGATTACAGAGCTGCTCTTTTAAAGGGTGAAATGTGGTAGAACATTCCTTGTAGAGCGGAGAGGGTGCGGACGGTTTATTTGGATGAGGATTCCTGGGAGCCGAAGCGGCGTAACATGCACAGATGCACAGCAGTTTGGATATGTCGTTCCTTGGTGGATTGTGACAGGAACCGCCGGCACCAAGCAAACGCCTACGCCTGCGGCTGAGATTGTCCGTAGCATGGCCTTTGGCGATCCTGTTTGTATTGGAAGAAGGAGCTTCGGGAACTTCCGGCCAAAACGCTGCTGAGGACCGAAGGGGTTTGAATGGGGTTTGGGGGCTGGCTTGTAACTTGAACCCTAGCTTGAAACAGGCCCAGGAAGTTGGTGCCAGCCCAGTACAAGGCAAGGGCGGATCTTTGCTACCAAAGCATGGGCCGGACAGAACAAGATTGTGTGCCCTGGCGCCGGCAACTGCGCTTTCTCGGCATCGTCTGGGCTCCGCAAAGGACAAGAAGCAGAAGGAGCAAATGCAGCGGCAGATGGTGGGGATTGTGAAAGGAACGTCCTGCCCTTGTCCGCAAATCAGGTTGGCGGTAGCATGGGAGGTGAAGCGCACTTTGCCAAACCGTGTCTTTGGTGCCCTTTGCCTGGGACGGCTGCTGTCCTTGCAGGCGATTTCTAACGTTACACACGCTGAAGAAAGATCAGCTCACCTGGGACATGAGCAGGGTCTGTCAGCACAGAAACCGTTCAGACCTCAGAGTTCCAGCGAAGTGTGAAGATGTGCATGCAGCCTGGTATTCTGCACCTCTGCAAACCCACCGTTTCATTCGCCATTTTACTGCACCAGCATCTCCTTCTAGCGCTAGGCCTGATGATCCTCCAGATCGCAAAACTGGAGAAGGTGGCGCAAGTCAGGCCAGACAAGCGTGCTACTGCTTGCCAGACCTCTGGCCGATGCAAAAGAAGTAAGTGTGGCAGACGGTTTGCAGGCGGAAGGGAAGGAGGAGAAGCACAAAAAAGAGGACATGTGGCAACCTAAGTTTCTGAGTTCCTGGGAACCTGTTCAGAGGAACAGCTTGGCTGCTTCCTCTGTGCCTGCGGGTATTGTGGGCATTGCCTGAGGAACATGATTCTTGCAGCCGTGGAACATGGTGTCAACGCCGCCTTGAAGGCCCTCACGCTGACAGCAACCATACTGTGTTGAATAAAGGCAAGCGCACCTCAGGCAAGATTCCATTTACCATCTGAATCCATTTGAATCCGTTTGCCGTCTTCCACCTTTCACTCAGCAGGAGAAGCCAGAAGAGCTGCTTCGCACTTAGAACCCGGCTCGCTTTTCAGAGGTCGGATATAGCTGTTTATGGAAGAAATCAAAGCTGGTGCAGCTGCAGTTGGGGGCGTTTTCTTGCTTTGAGGCCATCTTCGGGAAACCCAGCAGCCCACAAGGTTCATTGTTGCAATTTTTTGGGTGGTTGCTGGTGCTTGTGCCGAAGGTAACTGCTTATCCTTCTTCAAAACAAAGTCTGTGATGCCTTTCTCTCGGATGCCTACGCAAGAAATTCAGTGAGAAGGAAGGGGGCAGCAAGAAGGTAGTGAAATGGTTGGAGCACATTCACTTTTGCAATCTTGATTCAGCATGTTTGTAACCATAAAAATCGCAACCAGCAAAGAAACAGTGAATGCATGGTGCACAGGCCAAAGCAGCAAGGAAGGAAGCGAAAGACAAAGAGAAGAAGAAGGAGAAGAAGGAGAAGACGGACAAGAAGGAGATAAAGGAGACAAAGGAGAAGGAGAAGAAGGAGAAGAGGGATAAGAAGGACACGAAGGACACGCATCCTGACAAGAAGGAAAGAACAAAGAAGTGTTCGGACAAAGAAAGCTTGAGCGAGACGAGGTGGTGGTCTGTCATGGGGCGTACCAGGGCGATTGAGATCATCTGGTGTCAGCCCCGAGTTAGCAAGCCAGTTTGTGAAGTATGTGCAATGTGCTGCATAGGTGACGTGCTGGCAGACGGTCGGTTGGGGGTGTTCACTTACCCGGAAACCTGTGGGGTTGATTTCCTTGCCCTTGTCAGCCTCCCAACAAACAAAACACTGTTTCAACCGGTTCCGTTCTTGTGTGGTTGTGCAGCCTTCCGAAACCTTGATGTGCTTGCTGGGTATCATCGTGTGTGGCATGCATAAAAAAACCTGTTTTGGCTGTGTTCCTGGCAGTTGGGCGCTTTTGCCACGGGTGCGCTGATGCTTCCCCAAATCCATGTACACAGCGTCGCCCAGTGTCGGCAGGGCACCCGAAGAGCTAATGCAAAGCGGAAGTTGGTCCGTTACATTGTGTTTTGCACCTTCCAGATCACATCCCGCATAGCAGCAACTATAGAGTTGGAGCACCTCCTGACCAATGCTTTTCTGCGCGCAGCCGTGCCAATGCGTTTTGTCGCAGAGTCGCACCCTTTCTGAAATCCCGAATAGCAGGATTGTCACACCAAGGCAGCCAACCTGGGCAGCGCTGACAGCAGGGGAGATTTCAGTTTTTTAGCATTTTTCGCGACATCGAGCTTTCGCTTCAAACCGACCTCGTCCTCCTCAAAGTGTTCTGCGACCCTCATGTTTTTAACCTTTTGTGCACTTTTCGTCGACAGCTCTTCCAGATCGAGGCCCGCCGCGGAAACACAGACCCTACAGTACCTTAGCGACCCGGGAGCCACCGTACCTGCAAAAACACAGAGCTTCGCGTACTTCCACGGTTTCGCCCGCGTATTATCTGCGTATTCGCATGCTCATGAATTTAACTATATGTGCTGTTCCCACCTGCGAACTGCTGCGGTTGACACGATGACGCAACTGACCGTGGACATTTGTCCATAACTCGGAACTTTACGAACTGAATTTCGTTTGATGCAGACGTATGTGTCCCTCTGCGCAATGGGGTCTATGTTCAGAAGCCTAGATTCATGCAGGGTTTAATAAGCCGCACTTCTTGGTTGACGCTGTTCCTTATCATTTCGCCAGTCGCAACCATTTGCCGCGGGAGTTTTGCCGCGCGGTTTGCCAGCTGTTCACATGGGGAATCGGAACTGGACCGGGCAATGTCGAAAGCCATTTCATCATCATCATCATCATCATCATCATCATGATCATCATGATCATCATGATCATCATGAACAACAACAACAACAAAAAAAAACAACACCAGCAACAGCAACAGCAACAGCAACAGCAACAGCAACAACAACGACATGCGAAAGTAGCAGGCTCTGACACTACTGTGCAAACAAAGTAACTATCTACCCTAAAGTAGACTCACCTTCCTGTAGCAGCACAACGTGTTTTCACCCTGCAACGACCAAAGTCTTGCCTGCTTGCGCCAAAGTACATCAAAGTACTTGGCATGACGGGTGGGAGAAAAGTGGATTCTTTGCACGCTCCCTTGAACCAAGTACTATGTACTGTAGTTCACACAAATTAACGTTGACATCTTCATGCAAAACACATGCAAAGTTGAGGGCCCGAAAGTAAAGTGGATTTGGCGCCAATCTTGGGAAAATGATTCAAACTAGTTCCCAGAAAGGAGCCAGCTATCTTGAAACGAAAAGTATAGCCAAAGTAAATGCGCATCTGTCCCATGGATCAAAGTTCCAAGCATCATTTACACTCAGCTCGCGGGCAAAGTTACAACTACAATCTACAACGCTCAAAGTCGTGCACGTGGTGCTTTAATTAAAAGTGGAGCAGGTATTTGAAAATCTACCTGTTCTGATTGCACAGATGCCAAAGCCTGATGGGTACTTGGCAAATGCATAAGCATGCAAAAGTGAGGATGCCCTCGCAGTCGGTTAAAGTCAAAGTGCTCCAAGAGTTTGAACATGTGAAAGTTCACATGATCAAAAAGTACAAGCCCCTGCAAAGTAGCTCTACCCAAAAGTGTTGAGCTTTCAAGAAAAGAGGCGTTGATCCAAAATGCACAAAGTAGTCAAAGTACCATCTGTTCCAGACACGGCCATTTGACTCGTAAAAGTGACGTGTGACTTCAACAGGTCAAAGTTCACATCAGCCTGCTGAACTCTGCTGATGGAAAATTGACACACGAAGAAAAGTAAAGCTGATCTTGGAGAGAACTGAAAGTTGCGCTCTCCATGGGTGAAATTAAAGTGGGCGGGGTGGATTTCCCCCGCCTGACCATTCAAAAGTGCTCTGTACATCTGATCAAAGTACGTACTCGGCACAGTATCCAAACCAAACCAAACCACAAAGTTCGAAAGTTCTTGAGGAACATTCTGGATGCCAAAGTTGCAGTTCAAAAATGGCAAAGTCTGAATACCTGACGTCCAGACAGAAGCCTCCATGGGCGTCCAGCAAAACTGATCTGCCATATTTGGCAAAAGTCGTGCCTTGGAAGTTCCAAAGTTCTGCAGCGATGCTGCAAAAGTTTGACCTTTAGGCCACCATTGCTCTAATTGATCATTCAAAGCTTTCTCAAAAAGTACTCTGCTGCACCAACGTCTGTAATCAGAAAAAGTCATTCGGAAAGTTGCCATCCTTTCAAAGTCTGGCCCTTGGGAACTCAGGCCTAGGAAGAAATCTTTCCAAAGTTCTATTCAGCAAAGTCCAACCCACGGACTGCGTGCCCAAAAGTTTCTCTTTGAGATCAAAGAGTTGGTTCCTGCTTCGAAGAGTCAACCAAAGTTTGACTTCAACCACGGGTTCCAGACCCAAAGCTCGATCAAACTCAAAGTTCAAGCTGTTTGCCAGCTTCAAAAGGTCAAAGTTTGAGGGTTTCGAAGTGCTTGTAGAGGATTGGATATGACTCCCTGTACCAAAGCTGTCCCGGAGTCAAAATAGATCTTGGCCGACAAAGTTTGCAGCACTATGCGGTGCAAAGATATAAAGTAGAGGAGGTGCACCACATTTCCGCATAAAGTGGGTCCGGTATGTAGTTTCAAAGTTCCAGCGCACGGCAAAGTCAGCCCATGCAGCAAAATCAAGGTTCGCAACGTTCACAAAGTTGAAGGCGGGCAAAGAAAAAAACAGCGGCGGTCACACACAAAGTATTCCCTGCAAAGTGTGAAGTCCGATCGATCACATCGACTTGAAGTTTCCAGTGGAAAGTGTGGGAATGCACATGAAAACTTGTGCTTCCAACCAAAAATTTGCACTGATAAAGTTCCTTTTGCTCTTTACCAGGTCTTTAATTAGCGTTCACGCGATCTACTTGGGAATAAGTCATTCAAAGTATCTTTGCCAACATACTTTGTGAGAATATCTGCGGGGTTCAAAGTTCGCAACCGAACAGTTTATGTCGATACCCTTGTGCTGGGGCGGAAGTTTCAGATTTGGGCGAAGTTGCTGAACAAAAGTTTTGGTTCCTGAGAGATATTTTGCAAGGTGTTTCAGTTTGGAAAAGCGGTCGCCTGTTGGTCCAGTTAGTCCTTCTGAAAGTTCTTTGACTGCATACATGATGTCACATCTCAAATTTGACAGCCAGAGTAGCTGACCAACAACTTTCCTGTAAAGTTTTTGCATTTCTGGAGAAACTTGCTCTGAGCCAATCACTTTCTTCAAAGTGTCTACGCCTGGGGTCGTGACTGAGCGACAGTTCTGCATTTCCAAAGTTGTAAGGATCTTCTCAACGTATGTCGGTCTCATTTAAAGTTGAATTGCTTCAGGAGTTTGCCGAATGTCATAGCCAAGAAGGTGAACCTCTTGACCTTCACCAAGGTGACCTGTGATCTTCAACAAAAGTTCTTTCCTCATGTCAATGGCAAGAACGTCAATGTCCGGACGGCCGCTGAAAAACATGAGGCTACTAAACTCGCAATTTTTCGTCAGTTTTTGACGTCCAACGTCCATTTCGTGCGAAAGGGTTGCGATGGACTAAGTTAAATCGCAATTTTCCTCAGTTTTTGACGTCCAAAGTCCATTTCGTGCGAAAGGGTTGCGTTTCGTGGCGCTCCGGCGGCACCGCCCCCGCCTTAAGAGAGAATAGAAAGAAGAGCGAGAGGAGATCTGCAGATGTGAAGGTGTGAAGATGTAGATCTGCAGATGTGAGGGTGTGAAGATGTGGATCTGCAGGTGTGAAGGTGTGAAGATGTAGATCTGCAGATGTGAGGGTGTGAAGATGTAGATCTGCAGATGTGAGGGTGTGAAGATCTAGATCTGCAGGTGTGAGGGTGTGAAGATGTAGATCAGCAGCTGTGAGGGTGTGAAGATGTAGATCAGCAGATGTGAAGGTGTGAAGATGTAGGTCAGCAGATGTGAGGGTGTGAAGATCTAGATCTGCTACCCACATATGTCAAGACATAAAGTCTTTTCTGGTTTTGTCTGGTTGTGGACGTACAAGTTCGGATCACTCTTCATATGCCTAAAGTTTATCTTCTTCATAACGGTCGCAAAGTGGTCTTGCCAAAGTCTCGGGGAGTTATTCAAGCCATAAAGTGCACGCTTCAACTTCCAGACCATGCTCTGGATAGTATTCAGCAGGGGGAATGACATAAATGTCTTCACCTGTGATCAAGGCATGCAGAAAAGCTGTGGAAATGTCTTTGTTTGAAACATCCCACCCGAATGCAACCGAAAGTGTAAAAAGAAGCTTCAAAGTTGTGAGGCTTGGAGTGCTCGCAAAGCTGATCAGGATCGTTAACCACGTGATCAAAATCACGGACAACAAGTTTGCAACGCACTGTGCCATCCGGCTTGCGAGTCTTCACCCAATGAGAGGAAATGGCATGAGAAAGGTCGTGTTCACTCAAAGTTTCAACAGGCACTTCTGAAAAGACGGCAAAGTTAACCATGGATTCCATCTCTTTCTTCATGCCAGCATCCTCAAGTTCCTTTGGAAACTCGGTTTCGTACCAAAGGAAAGGGTTCTCCAAGCTCTTATCAGCAAAAGATCTTTTTCATCTTGATTCACCGAAACAGGAACTTCGAGTCCATGCTTGGTGTCAACAGATGAATCTCGATAGTCGTAAGTCCAAGACTTTTGGAACAACCATGAGTGTGATGGAAAATAAATTCCAATCACAGCTGCGACAAGGAGTACACACGAAAGTCTCTGGGTCTTGGAACCAGGTCCAGCTTCTTCCGGTTCATGTTCATGCTTGCGTTCCAATGTTGCAGCAGGATCAAGACGCGGGCGAGAATGAAAGTCCCCATCATCAGGAGAAACTTCTCTATGCCTGCGAGCACGT